ATATACTCAGCTATTGTGTGCATGTGCACACACACACACACACACATGCACACTTATTTTTCTTCTAATCCCCACTGAAATGTAAGATATATTATGAAAGTGAGATTTTTGTTCTATTTTCTACTCTATCCCCATTAACAACATACCTGGTTCCTAAGGAGATGCTCAATAAATACTTTTTGTGTGGTTTTTTTTTTTAGATTTTTTTTTAAAGATTTATTTATTTATTTATACAAGCACTGGGTACAGTCAGAAGCGAGGGAGGGTGAGAGAATTCACCAGAGCAGGGAGCAGAGCAGGCAGAAGGACCGAAGTACACTGCTGAGGGGAGCAGCGGGCGGCAGGGGAGGTCTGTGGGCCATGCGGGTCCCTCCTCCAGTGGCCAGGGAGCAGCTGGGGATCAAACCGACATTGCAGAGGCTGCGGGCAGCTTCGCAACCCAGCGCTCAACCACTGCGCCACCGGGGAGGCCCTAAATACTTTTTGATGTAGATAAACCCAGGGCCTCCCTGTTGGCCTACAGGTTAAGTCTCAGTGCTACCACCTTGATGGCCCACATTGATGTCCTGATTTCGATCCCTGGTCAGGGAGCTAACCCACATGGCACAGCAAACCCCTCCTGTCTCACCTGCTGCTCCCCTCAGCAGTGTATTTCACCTGGTTCACCAGTGTAATTCCACCTGGTTCTGCTTTCCACTCTGTCTCTGGTGAATCCTCTCACCCCCTGCACTGCTGACCTATACCCCAGCTCTTCTACGCAAAATAAATAAAACGTAAAAAAAGCTAAATCCATACTAAAGAACCTGTCACTTGGGTACTATATGCTATGAACTCCTCTTGACACACAGAGGTCCCCTGAATCATAGTATCACATCATTCTGTCGTCATCAGGCAGAAATTTTTGCATTGCAGAATCAGTAGGTAAGTATTCACTTTATTTTGTACATTGTTAGGAAAAAATGTTCAGGATGGTGTGATACAATAGATACAAGAAACACTATAAATTATTGTTGCTTTGCAGTATAAATTATTGTTGCTTTGTAGAGACATGACATAGGTCAGAAATTTGTTACCCTGATCAGTGCAAAATCATGTAATGCATGCCTATGGGTGTGAGAAGCTGCCCAGAAATGGGGTGAGGAGGCCAGAGTTGGTCCTTTCATTTTAGATAGAAATAGGATGGTCAGAACGGAGAATGCAAAAACATTAGAAAGTAAGGGCTCAAGGGGACCAAAGGTATATCACAATCAAACATATTCTTTATTTTTTTCAGTGATAGGTAAAAAATAATATTTATTTTGTTATCTTTTTTAAAGTGATTATTTAAGGACCTAAGACATATCTAAATACATTATAAAGCAAACCATTTATTTCTTATTTTCCCAAATGAATAGATTTGCCTTTTTTCCAGACCTGTTATTAAAATGAGACTAGCAAGTAAATATTATGGCAATGTTAGCTCAAAAATTAATTAAATTTTCAAGTAAGATAATAATGATACATATTACTTAACATATTGTTAGGTCTCCAGAGAGACATTTGCTTCTGAAAATATGAAAACAAGAACAAATTTAAAATGTCTCCAAATAGCAATAAATTAATTTCTCCATCTGAGTGTAACCAGTGGCTGAAGCCAGACCGTTACTGGTGTCCCCTGGAAGAGGTGCTGGTGAGGAATAGATAGCCCCAGGGAAAATTTGAACCAAGTATCAGTGGGGATGAAGATTCTGATAAGAAATATAAGGGACTGCAGGAGCAGCCCCCAGGAATCAGTGTTTCTGATTCAGCATGTGGGCTTTCAGCATTTTAGGATCTGCAGCAATTCCAGCATCAGCAATTTCTGTCCCCACTATGCTGATCTTTTAGAAGGCTGTTGCAGGTCTCTAAAGGCCATGGGAGAGGCTTCCAGAGGAAAATTTTGGAGGCTTTATATGTAGTCCAGTGATTGAAACTATTCCCACCTTTGCTGCTGTTAGAGCCTGGCAGGGAATGCTAAGACCCGGAGCTGGGCACCTCACTGAGTTGCGTGAGTGTGGCCGTTTGTAGGGTCCTTTGCCACTGCAGCTGCTGTTTTGAGTGTCGCTTGTCTGGTGCTGCACTGGGGCATGCAGCAGTTCCATGAGCATCTCCTGTTGTGTCTTCTGTTGTCTTTGTGAGTTGCATCCCAGCCAGTAGTGTGGCTGCCATGTGCACCATGTCCACAGTGGCAGGTAGACACCATCTTTGGAACATTTACATTTTAGGCATTTAGAACACTGGATCCTGCTTTGGGTGAGGTAAACGGCCATTTTTGGCCTCAGTAACTTTGTTTTTCCCTGATTTGTTAAACAAATCCCGTTATTGTTCTCTGAACCTAAGTGGTCTTGCAATTGTACCTAAGTAGTCTTCAATTGTGCGTGCGTGTGAAGAACTCAGTCAGTGACCCGTAAACTATTTGGGCAGTGTCCTTGGCTGGTTTTAGTGCCCCTTGTTGCACTGTATCATAAGGTCTCAGATAATATGGTAAAAATAACCCTTAAAAGACTATATAATCTTTTATTTCAAACTACCAAATCATTCAGATGTCTAAGAAAGAAGATACAAAGAAGGTTGTAAGATTTGTTTTGTTATACAAAACGGTCCATTAAAGCTAAAGGCTTTCAGTCCTTGGAGAGTCCACAAGCACAGTAAACAAACCAGCAAATTCTCTTTTAAAATATACTAACAGGCCTCCCTGGTGGTGCAAGGGATTAAGATGCAATCTATAAAGCTGTCCACAGCCTCTATAGCAGGAGTTCAATCCCCCCGCCAGCCAGGGAGAAACCCACATGGTGCAGCAGACCTCTCTTGTCTCGCCTGCTGCTCCCCTCAGCAGTGTATTTCAGTCAGTCTAGCTGTTCTGCTCCCTGCTCTGTCTCTGGTGAATCCTCTCACCTCCTGTACCTCTGGCCTGTACCCCCAGTTCTTGTATGCATAAATAAATCTTAAAAAAATATATACTAACAGTTTAACAATCTACAGTTTTAATATTAGAGGGCTTACAAGTTTATGTTTTTGCAATGACTCTTAAATTTGTATCAAATGAAAAAGAATTTATGTAGACATTTGTTTGGGGAAAAATAACCTGACTTTTGAATCTTAGTAATAGTTCTTCAAAGTGTAACCAATTATATAAAACAAGGGAACTCAAAGGATGTTTAACAGTGTATAAATGATAAACTACTAGTCATAGGAAACTATGTTTAGGAATATAAATTTTATAGTCTTGGCCATAAAAATAGCAAACATTGAGAACAGGAAAGAGATGTTGAGATGTTGCATGGTGTTAGTACTCTAGGTGAAATTATGACCAGGCTTTCTAGATAAAAAAGCAGCAAAGGAATTAATTCATGATATACAGGAAAACCAGTGCAGCACCTGATTTCATTGCATGTGTACAAAGTTCTAGTGCAGAAAAAATTCAATTAAATTGACTTAAAAATAGTGCCCCAAACTGATAAAAAATGTGCACAAGCTAAAGTAATTTTCATAAAAAGAAAACAGTCACAGAACAGCAACTGAGGCCAAGAAATAGACATCATGAGCCCCCTAGAAGCTCCCTTCCATGTTCTTCCAATCACATATCTTCTAAAGATAAATACTATCCTTATTGCCAATGTCATACATGAATTTTGCTTGGTTTTGAATTTAATAAAATGGAATTATGGCCTTTAGACTATTTTTGTCTATCTTTTTTCATTCAAAATTATATTCATAGAATTCATTATGTTGATGTATGAGTTCATGTATTTTCTTTGCTGTATTCCATTGTATGAATTTAGTATATTTTGATTTATGCATACCAATTTGATGAATAACTGTTTTAATATTTAATTTATCTTTTGTTGCAGCTATATGTTCTTATTTTTTGGTTAGGTATAAGTTTAGAATGGGTATATATTTGAGCATATAATTTCAGTTTTCAAAAGTAGTTGCACCCATTTAAATTCCCAATATCAGTTGAGATCAATTTAGTCCAAATCCCTGTCAACACATTAGTGTTATTATCAGATTTTTGCATTTTAGTTTTTGTAAAAGTTTGTTAGACTTGTCTGGTGTGCCCATCTGGTCTGCAGTTTTCCTTATGGGAAAGTTTTTAAATGTAGATTAAAAATTTTAATAGAGAAAAAAAAACTACTCACATATTTTTCTCTCCCTGTGCTCATTGGGTAATATTAGTAATTTTTAGGAATTTGTCTTATTCCCTCTAAAATAGTCATAAACTTGTTTCAAATATGCTTTAATTGTTCTTTAAATCTCTGAGATCTAATGTGATATTTCCTTTTCTCTTACTGATTTTCACAATTTGTGTTTGTTTGCATTCTTGATCCATCATGTAAGGAGATTGCCAGTCTTATTTATCCTGCCAAAACCAAAAAATTCTAACTTTGCTGTCTTCTATACTGTGGTTCTAACCTCCACTGGTTTCTTCTCTTGCCTTTATTATTCCTTGTTCCTACTCTTTGATATTTTATTTCATTTTTCAGTTGAATGCTGAAAAATTAGATATTTTATTTCATTTTTCAGTTGAATGCTTGGATAAAAAGAATGAAGTTTTTATTTTGGGGTAGTAAATTATTAAGACAACTAACTTTTCAATAAGAGAGGTCATCAACATATCCTATGTTTTGATATATATTATTTTTATTATCATTTAATTCAAAATATATTCTAATCTCCATTGTGACTGTTCTTAACCCATGATATATTTAGAAATGTACTGAATAATTGACAAGCATGTGGGGATGTTCTAGATACCCTTTGTTCTCATTTCTTGGTAATTACTGCCTTGATCAGAAAATATATTATGTAAGATTTCTATTCTGTTTTATGGCCAGCATATGGTCAAATGTAATTTCATTGCTTCATGAAAGGAATTCTAAAATCTACAACTGTGGATTATTTCTTTCTCTTTTAGTATTATTTTTACTTCATGGATTTTGAATTTTGCTCATTACAAATTTAGAATTGCTGCAGATCCCTGGTGGACTATGCCTTTGGTCATTATCAAATGTAGTTCTTGCCTTGGAATTTATGTGGGAGTGGCTCCAAGACCCCCGTGGACTCAGATGCTCGATTCCCATAGAGAAAAGTATGTAGTATTTGCATATAACCAAAACACATCATGTCACACATTAAATCAATTTTAGATTACATATAATACATAGTACAATGTAGATGCTATGTAGATAGTTGTTATTCTGTATCATTTAGGGAATAATGACCAGGAACAAAAGTCTGTACATCTTCAATACAGACACAACCATTGTAGGCTGAACTATGGGCTTGTCAATTTCCAATCAAAATATTGTTAGGATTTTTTAAATATTCTCTATTTATTGCATAGAAGAACAGGGTGCAGACCAGAGGTGCGTGGGGTGAGAGGATTCACCAGGCACAGATCGAGGAACAGAACAGGTAGATTTACTGAAATACACTGCTAAGGGGAGCAGCTGACAGACATGAGAGGTCTTCTGTGCTGTATCTGGGTTAGTTCCCTGGCCAGGAATTGAACTCAGGCCAGAGCAGTGATAGCGTAGGGCTGAGACTTAACCCGTAGGCCACCAGGGAGGCCCTCCATTAGGATTTTTAGTAGAGTTATATTAAATCTATAGGTCAGTTTGAAAGAATTAGCATCTCCATGCTATTGAATCATTCGATTCATAAAATGAATTCCATTATTTAGCTCATTTATTGTCTTAGAACAGCTTTGTATTTTTTACACAGTATTTTAACACATTTTGTAAGATTTACTCAATGTTTTTTTTGTTGTTATTGCTATAACTATTACATAAATGGTTTCTCTTATTACTGGTGTACAAAACAGCAATTGATTTATGACTTTTGTGTTTATAACTTGTAAGTGAAATCCTTGAAAAACATAATAACCACTATGTAAGTGATTTCTATTGTTAGGTTTCATTCAGACTTATTCTACTTTTTTCTAAATTCTTTGCTAAACTCAGATGTCTAGCTCATTTATTTTTAGCCTTTTATTTTCCCAGCACAAGTGTCCATGTGTGTAAGTTACTTTCTAAGCACCAGAACTCCTTGTCCTTTTTATGCTTGTTTTCATTTTTTTCTGTTATAGCATTTATTTTAATATCAGTGTAATTTAACTTATTTTTTATTTTCCTGTATCTGCATACAAGAAATTAAGGCTTCATGAAGGCAGGAATCTTGACTCTCTTGTGTTGAGACATATTCCCAGCATGCAGAACTGTGCTGGGCAGGTAACAGACAAAGAGCAAATATTTGTTCAATGGATGAATCTCACATATTTTCTGTATAGAATTTTAAAATTATTTTCATAAATATTTATGCCTTCTATTTACAAGATAACTGTGAAAAACTTAAGGATCTGAGTGACAGCTTTTTAATGTTAATTGGAATAGTCAGTCTATTCACATTCATTGTAAATACCAACTTTAAAAACTGTTCCTACCACTAACTTATTACAAAATGACCCAGTTTTCTATGTTTGCTTTTGCTTGCTTTGCCTTCTTTTGAAATGATTATTTCCCTGTTTCATATTTTTCTACTAGCTTATGTTATCTGTTTTTATTATTTCATATATGAATCAAGAAATGCTCACAAATATAAAGGAAATTGGATCCTTTTCCCCTCCCAATCCAAGGTATGACCCTTCTGATTAATTTTTATTAAAGATCTATTTATTTATGCCTAGAAGAACTGGGGTGTAAGGCAGAGGTGTGGAGGCTGAGAGGATTCACCAGAGACAGAGTGGGGAGCAGAACAGGTGGATCCACTGAAATACACTGCTGAGGGGAGCAGCAGGTGAGTGAGTAGAGGTCTGCTGTGCCTTGTGGATCAGCTCGCTCGTCCAGAATCGAACTCAGGCCACAGCCACAGTGTGACAGTGTGATGATAGCGGTGAGACTTAACCCCTAGGCTTCCAGGGAGGCCCCACTCTAATTTTTACACTCCTACGATACAATACGAATACAATAGTTTCCATACATTTATTTAACACCACTTCTGTCTTTCCACACTAGCCACCTTGTTACTTACTTTCTCTGTACTATTCTTCATATCTTTTCTGTGGGTTGCATTCTAAATAGCTTTTTCAAAACTATTTTAGCTCATTAATTCTGTCCAATCATAAAAAATTGGGCTTTAAACCTATTAAATTTATTTCAATTTACGTATTTTACAGTTCTAACAGTTTCAACAATTCTTTTACAAACATACTTTTTATTCAGGATCTCAAGCTCCCCTCAACATCTTTAATATATTAAAAGACATAGTTTATACTTTGTATTCAAGAATTCAATTTTATCAATTTTGTGGGTTTAATTGTATTTTCTATTCTCCCAACCTTCATCTTTCCAGCATCACCCTCAATGTGTCTGGAAATGGATTTGTTGATTTCTAAGACTTTTCTGCTTATTTTCTTTGGACTGCTACTTTTGGATTATTTTGGAGGCTAGAGGAGTCCTGAATAAATATAGTCTCTTTCATATCAATTTGATTTTGTTTCAGTAATATTCCCATACCGGTCCAAGACGCCTGTAATTAAAATCACCACTGTGTTGTTTTGGACCATCCAGGGTTTGTATATTCAGGTTGAAAGGCCACCTAGGAACTAGTTTGTGATGACAAATTCCAAGTTTGAATCAAGTAATTTTCTTTGCATCACTTTGGGGGAAAAAAAACAATAAAATTTCTCTTTCACTCTTACCCTGAGCAAGTAAGCTTATGAGTATTCAGTCTTTGGAGGGACCTTGTTGTTATAATATCTATTTGGGGAGACCCAGTGAGCTTACAGGTTCACATCATTTTGGTAAATGCCGTCCATGTAACATCGACTTCACGGCTCTGTGGCCACTTGTTGCCCCCTTCACTCAGTCCTTGATAAAAGTATTAACTTTCCTGTGGCTCAGGAGCACTTTTAAAAATATGTTTTATAATATTTTTCAGATGTGGAACTTAAATGATAAAGAAATCAGTCTATAATCCTTTCTCTCTATTTTTTGTAGGGGCTGGAAGATGATGACTCTGGGAAGAAAACTGATCTGGTTTAAACTCCTTGAAAAGGTGCTGGGGGTCTCCTTGTTAGCATCTCCCGTAAACAAGCTACAATACACTGGATGGTTATATTCTTCCCCTACCTCAAATTCATATATTGAAATACTAACCCCAAATATGTAGTATCTGGATTGGGGAGTCTTTAGGATATAATGAAGTCAAGAGCAGATTCCTTATGAATGGAATTAGTGCCCTTATAAAAAGACAAGGAAGTTCTCTCTCTCTACCTCTCTACCTCTCTACCTCTCTACCTCTCTACCTCTCTACCTCTCTACCTCTCTACCTCTCTACCTCTCTACCTCTCTACCGGGAAATGTAAAAAGAATCAGGCTTTTCAGCCCTCCCACCATTAGGATAGATGAGGGAATCCTGTGGTCCTGAACGCATGCCTGATGGCGGGCCCCTGAAGTGGGGACACCTGGGCTGAGAGGCTGAGTTTATAAGGGCGGCATCACAGGGACGCCAGCAGAAGCCAAGAACAAGCAGAAGCAGGAGAGCAGAGAAGCAGAGGGAACACGAGAGAAGGCTGGAGAGCCCAGATAGAGTGAAGACTTGCTGGGGGCCGGGAGGCCTGCCAGCCTCTTGGCCCCCCAGCACCCCTGCCTGCCATGTGCCTGGTAAATCTAAATAAAAACCTGCAAAAGCCACTGAGGGCTCCAGGACTCTCTCCTCCTTTACCCCGGTCTGCATGGGATCATAGAAAACCTGCTCAGTGTCCATCCTGGCCTTACACTCTCCCACTTTCTCTCCCCTCTTCACTATGTTAGGATACAAGAAGACAATCCTTCAGGAAGCAACTATAGGCCCTTCACCAAGAACCTGATGGATCATGCTTGCTCCCTGATCTCGAACTTCTAGTCCCCACAACGGAGAAATAAATTTTTTTCTTAAAGATTTATTTATTTATTTATACAAGCACTGGGTACAGTCAGAAGCGCGGGAGGGTGAGAGAATTCACCAGAGCCAGAGCGGGGAGCAGAGCAGGCAGAAGGACCGAGGTACACTGCTGAGGGGAGCAGCGGGCGGCAGGAGAGGTCTAGTGCGCCATGCGGGACCCTCCTCCCGTGGCCGGGGAGCAGCTGGGGATCGAGCCGACATTGCAGAGGCTGCAGGCAGCTTCGCAACCCAGCGCTCAATCACTAGCGCCACCAGGGAGGCCCAAAATAAATTGTTGTTTAAGCCACTTTAGGATAAGGTAAAAAAGGATCAGGCTTTGCTGCCCTCCTGCCATTAGGATTGATGATGGATCCCTGCGGTCCTGAATGGCTGCTTGATGGTGGACACCTGAATATGGTGTGGGCCTATGTAAGTGGATACACCTGGGCAGAGAGACTAGGCTTATAAAGGTGGCGTCAAGGGGACACCAACACAGCAGAGCGAAAGAGTAGCAGAGATCATGAGAGAAAGCCAGGGAGACCAGAAAGAGTGAAGACTTGCTAGGGGCTGGGAAGCCTGCTAACCTCCTGGCCCCACCGCACCCCTGTCTGCTTTGTACCCGGTAAATTCCCAATAAGAGCCAATGAGGGCTCCTAGGACTCTCCTTTAACCCATCTGCTCAATAAGAGATCTTGCCCTGTGGCCTTCCTGGCGCTACAACCACCCAAGTCTGTGTTATTGTTCTTAAAGAAATCCAAACTGACTATGACAAACAAATTGATTTTTGTTAGTAAGAGATTCCCTTTTTTTATGGAATTCTAGTAATAGGATGTACCTGGTTGTCTAGAACTGGTAATCATAATCAAATTTCCAATATATGGAATTTATGTGGCTTGGTTCCCAGGAAAACATCATATGGTATTTAACTACAAATATAAAATATAAATGTTACATGATTCAATTGTCTCTTTTGCCACATACTACTTGGAGATTTGAGGTTAATCTGGGCTCCAAGTATATCTGGTATAGCAAGAAAACAATAGAGAGCTATATAATGGTGCCAGATACCTCCATGTTTTATCTGCACCTTGAAATTAATAGTATCTGTAAAATAATAAAACTTCTGGGCTAGAGTCTGATTCATTTGAATCTAACATGACACTCTGAGCTGTGTTATCTCAGGGTGTTTTGGGAGACAGGACTGGTCTGGCATCTATTCTACCTTGTGCTAAATGGAACTCTCTATGATACTGAATCTCTTTCTAAGTGTCTCCAATCTGACATTGATACAGAGCAGCAAAGGACACTAAACTGGCCAAGGACACTGCCCAAATAGTTCACTGGTCACCGACTGAGTTCTTCACCCACGCACACAATTGCAAGACTACTCAGGTTCAGAGAACAATAATGGGATTTACTTAACAAGCTAGGGGAAAACAAAGCATTACCAATGCCTCAAATGGCTGTTTATTTACCTCACCTGCAGCAGCATCCAGTGTTTCAAAGTCCTAAACACAAACACTTCCAAGATGGCCTCTTCTTCCCACTGCAGACCTGGAGCAAGGGGCAGCCAGACAATAGGCCAGGATCCCACTCACAAAGACTGCAGAAGACACAACAGGAGATGCTCACCAGAGCTGCTGAGCTGCCCCATACAACTGACACTCAAAACAGCAGCTGCAGCAGCCAAACAATCCAACAAACGACCACACTCACAGCTCAGTGAGACGCTCAGCTGTGGGTCTTCGCCTTCCCTGCCAGGAGGTAACTGCGGCAAAACCGGGATCAGTTTCAGTCACTTGGCTACTTGCAAAACCTCTGAACTTTTCCTTTTCTAGGCTGGCTGCTGGAAGCCTCTCCCACGTCCTTCAGAGACCTGCAACAGCCTTCTGGAAATTCACTTTGTGGGGGTAGAAATGGCTGACCTGGGAATCGCTGACGATCCAAAAACACTGAAATCCCAAATGCTCAATCCTGAACACTGCATCCCCTCCCCTCACCCGCCCCATGCTGCTTCTGCAGTCCCTTTATATTTCTTATCAGAGTCTACACCCCACTGATACTTTGTTTGCACTTTGCCTGGGGCACGCCATCCTCACCAGCAACCCCCTCCAGGGGGCGCCACCTGTAACAGCCTTTGGCTTCAGCCACATGAAACTTGTTCACTGAAATCTTCCATAAAAATATTTCCAATTCGGGCCTCCCTGGTGGTGCAGCAGTTGAGCGCTGGCTTGCGAAGCTGCCCGCAGCCTCTGTAGCACCGTTTCGATCCCCGGCTGCTCCCCGGCCACCAGAGGAGGGTCCCACATGGCGCGCAGACCTCTCCTGCCACCCGCTGCTCCCCTCAGCAGTGTACTTCGGTCCTTCTGCCTGCTCTGCTCCCCGCTCTGGCTCTGGTGAATTCTCTCACCCTCCCGCGCTTCTGACTGTACCCAGTGCATGTATAAATAAATAAATAAATCTTTAAAAAAAAATTTCTAATTCTTTAGTTATATTTATAACATTTTCAAAACTGTCTTTTCAAGTATGGTAAGCTTATACTCCTTTTTTACACATTAAATCTTTATTCCTTTATGTGACACATAGGTCTTGTAGTCTATATCTGATAATAATGGCTACAATCTTCCTAGGTCTGAATACGCATTTCAGAGTTTCTGGTAATCCTTCTCATAGAGTCTTATCTCTGAGATGTTTAATTATTTATGTTTTTATGATAAAGCCCTATGTATTTCAACTTTATGTGTAAGAATAAATAGGAAAGATAATAGTTTATTTCTAAATACCCTTCTATTCCTGTAAAGAGTAACTTAGCTACAGGATGGTATTACATATATTTTCAAATATAACAATCAAAATTTCAGAATGATCTAAAATAATATTTAATATGATTCACTTGATATCTTACAGGTGATAGCATAATTTTGGTGTTTACTTATATAATAACTTGCTTTTTAGGTACCCACTTTGTAAAATACAAAACCTACCTAACTGCTAATTGATAGGAAAACCCAATACTTCCTTTATAATGTAAATCACTGGATAGATTCTTACAACACACACGTGTACACACACACACACACACACCACATATATTGGCATTTGCCCAACAATGGAAACAAACAATATTTAACTACTTGTCACATTAAAGAAAACTACAGAAAATAGTTGACAAAAGATATAATAATATCTGTTGACTATCCTATGGAGTTGTTATGATACTCAAGCCAGATAATGCATGTGAAATGTTTTAAAAAGGATGATACTTTTACCAAAAATATCATTATCAGTAATATATAGTGTGTTTTTATTCTATATTAGGACAGAGAAGTATCCTTCAGTATCTCAGAAATTAGAAATAAAGCTTGTTCTGTTGCTCTAGGATTCAGTGTTAGATTATAGTAAATAGTTTAAAGAAATACTGAGTATTTTTCAAGAAAACTGATTTTAAAGAGAAAAGCAAAGGAAAAAAAAATTACCAGAACATTCCCTCAAGGTGTTTTACGTATGACTTTTAGAACATAATTACATAAATAAAATTAGTTTAAAATTAAATTATGTGAACCCATTAGTTGGGTGATCAAGGTTACTATCAAGAGTAACACATCATCATGGGTGGTGTACGTGGTCCTGATATAGTTTGCAAAGACTGGTTTGTTATTGCCATAGTCATCTTCCCAAAATCCACAACTTCAGTCTGATGAGTAGAAAAATATCAGAAAGGGCCTCCCTGGTGGTGCAAGGGGTTAAGCACAGCACTGTGAAGCTATCTGCAGCTTCTGCAACACAAGTTCGAGTCCCAGCCGGCCAGGGAGCAACATACATGGCACAGCAGACCTCTCCTGACTCACCCGCTGCTCCCCTCAGCAGTGTATTTCAGTCAGTCTGCCTGTTCTGTTCCCTACTCTGTCTCTAGTGGATCCTCTCACCCACCCCCCGACCGCGCTGCCCCCCCCCACACCTCTGGCCTGTGCCCCAGCTCTTGTATGCATAAATAAATCTTTTTTTTTTAAAGAAAAATATCACAAAATATGTGATCAATATTTCTCACCATAAACAAGGAATGTCTGAGAAGCTCCTGCAGCCAAAGAAGAGATGACAGATACATGGAATGTGACATCTTGCACGGAATCCTGGAGCAAGACAGCAAAAAAACGACATGAGGAAAGAACTAAGGAAGCTTTAGTTAATGTGTTAATGTTGGTTCATAAGCTGTAACAATGTACCATACTAATATAAGACACAAATGCTATAACATAAATATTAATAATAGAGGAAACTACATTTGACCTTTATTGGGATACTTTGTACTTTATTTTAAACTTCCTGTAAATCTAAAGTAGTTCTAATAAAAGATTTTAAAAGCTAATTTCCTAGTAGCAGGGATTTTGT